TATTTTTTGTTGTAAATAGTTTTGATATTTAAATCTATTTCATTTTGAATTTAGATAGTGTGTACATCACTTTGTTGATGATATAGAATGCATTGACACAAGTAAAACAAAATTATAGCAAGATCAAAATTAAAAAAAAAAAAAAAGAAATTATATAAATATAGTTTTTCATCCCAACCGTTGGTCACAATTTCCGACCAACTGTTGAAAGGTATTTAAGATATTAAAGCGTATGAGTGACGGAAATTTCATCCAACAGATCAAAGTTGGACGAAAATTTCCATTCTAAAAATGGTGGGTTACCATCCGAAAATTTCGTCCAACTTTGACCTGTTGTACGAAATTTCCATCTAACATCTGATGTTGGACGGAATTACCGATGCTCATTTTTTTGGATTATCGTTTTGATCAGAAACCCATATTCTGACTAATATCTCCCGTTTTCAGTCCAACTTCCGTTGGACAATTACCTTTTGAAAGAGAAATTAAAACATATGAGTTAAAAGAAAAATAAATTACAAGTTATTGTAAATTCCTAAAAAAAATAAATAAATAAACAAATCTTTGCATTTACCTGAAAATGATGGAATAAACACTTTGAGACAAGGACGAAGATACGCAAAGAAGAAAGAAAAGAAAACAAAAAATCCTCTTACGAATGTAAATGGAATAGGTAACAGGAAGGAGATATATATATTTCTCATTTCTAACTTAAATTTATTCCGGATCTAGTGAATGGAAAATCTAAACTTTCTCGTCTTCAGTCCAGTTGAAATAAGGAATGGAGGTTATCTAAACTCTCATTTTCAGTCCAGTTGAAATAAGAAATAGAGGTTAACTGACAGACTATATATTCTTAGATACTTTTTCAACTTACTGAAGCAGTAAGAGTCAATGGCATTTGAATTTGTGGCCTCCTATTCGAGAGAGCTATAATTATAGATCACAAAGTCTTTGACATATCTCAAATATATAATTATAAATCAACCTCGTATCTTCTCGAAAATTATTAACATCCATGCACTTTCTGTTACGGCTTAAAATTGAAATTTTTTGAAATGCAATATAATTGAAATCTCAGTATAGGACTATAAATTGTGAGTAATCATATCTAATCTATAATCAACTCAAAACATTTTATGAATTATTTATTAAAATAAATTAGAATATGTTATGCAAAATAAAATAGATTATTTAACCTACATAAAAAGATAAATAAACTTTATTTAGCATTCATTCCCATTGAAATTGTGTCGCGTAGCTTGAACAAAAACGAAACTTAAAGTTCTACTTGATTTTATATTAAATTAATTTAGACCGATTAATTTTTTCTATTTAGCAATAATAAATAACGAAAAATTAAATGTAGAAAATAAATCAAGTACATGATAATTGATTACGCAGTTTGGAGCGCTTCTCCTACGTCTGCGGGGCAACTCACGTTTGCCCAATCCACTATAGATGTTCACCGAGGAGTTTTACAAGAGGTCAGTACATTAGGCTATCAGCCTTTACTACCACTACAATCTTCCTAACATCCACTCAGGACTGATACGTGCATGGCGTGATGATCTTCAAGAAAAAGCTTCAGCTGACCCAGGTACAGATAGTGTAGCTCAGCAGAATTTCCACACAAATTAATTATAACAATCAGATTTAGAATGTAGCAATATATAGAATTTCAACTCTCTCAATTTAGCTTGTAAGAATTCGTGACTTTTCAAAGTGAGAAGTCTTCCTTATCCATCTAAATTCCAACAAACTTCCCCAAATAAATAGTCATTCATTTAAATCAAATAAACCACAGGCACTCATAATAAAATTATTCCTTGTAATTAGTTTCACACTTTCACCCATATAATAATTCTGCTCACTTTCTCTTTCCACATAATTAACTTCAACCACATAATTATTTTGCCGACTTCCTCTTTTCAAATATACATCCACTGATCATGAACCATTATATAAATAAGTTCTTTATGATAGGAAACAGTCCAAGAGCTTGTCTAAATTAATCCTATTTATTTCACAAACAAATTAGTCAATATAAGGTTTTAATGTGTACTAACTTTGTACACTTACAATTCCCATAATCTAGACCATAGATTATTTGTCAAAAGAAATACTCCCTCCCTCCGAATTGGTTGTCACATTTACTTTATGCAAGCTTATTAAGGGGTTAAAGTAAATGCTATGAGTTTTTCAAATATGCCCATCACTTTTCTCACTTTTAGAAGTAAAAGTAATAAAGAAAGTAAAACTCATAAAGGGTAAATTGAAAAAAGTAGAATGATAATGATGTTCAATTCTAGAAAGATAACAACATACATTTTGGAACAAACTAAAAAAGAAAGTAATATAAATAAAACAAGACAGATGGAGTGTGCTCCCTAATAAAAAAGAAACATATACACACATATTGCGCGCGCACACGCAATTAATTATTATCAATAACCAATAATTGTTTCAAGGCTCAGAGACGAAAGGCTGAGCAATCAAGAAAAGATCTTCTTTTTTGCCCACAGTTATACCCATTGCCTCACTCATATCCAAATCATTAGGACTAACTCCACCAGTAATTTCCCAATCGAAGTGGTACAATAAAGCAGCCAATGATTCGGTAATGCTAGCCAAAGAAAATGAAATTCCAGGACAGATTCTTCTCCCCGAACCGAAAGGTATAAACTCATAGTGATTCCCCGTGAATCCCACAGAACTATTCTCAAATCTTTCAGGCAGAAACATTTCTGGATCTTTCCAATACTTAGGATCGGTGACAATAGCCCAAGCATTAATGAAGACTCTAGTCTTGGGAGGTATAATGTACTCATCAATCTGTGCTTCTTCCATGCTTTCTCTGGGGAGTAAAAGTGGAAGTGGAGGATGGAGTCTAAGGGTTTCTTTAATCACAAGGTTTAGGTAAGTTAATTTCTCCAAATCTTGATCTTCAAATGTTTTCTTTCCCTTTAGGGCTTGTCTCAGCTCAGCTTGTGCCTTGGACCTCACACTTGGATTTTTCATCATTTCAGCCATTGCCCAATTAATTATATTGGCAGATGTTTCAACCCCAGCAGTGAACATGTCCTAGATTTTGAATGAAAGAGTATTGTTATTTTATTTGGGGAAGAAAATGAATGTTGAAAAATATAGTTTTTAATCAATTAGGGCATGCAGTTGAATTCAGAATTAAAAAATAAGTATACTAAAGTAATATTCCATTTGCTTTCCAGGAGAACACTTGGACTACTCTCATTCATTTTCTAACAAAATTAAGGGTTGAAGATTAAGAAAAAAAAAAAAAAAAACACACACAATAGTGATATTTTGGTAATTATGATTATGAATTTAAAAACTATTCACAGTGCTTGGGAAAAGAATTGCAAAATGCATTATTTGCCGATAGCCACACTAAGTGATAGGGGACTGGCCAAATGATTTGCTCCATTCACATGGGTGCCAACCTCATGCTTAAGGGACGGGGTACTAAACCACCAAGCCAACCATGTTGGTTGCAAAATGCATTATTACTTAACCATAAATGCAATATTTTCAAATATAAAATCATAATTATAGAAATGTCACCATGTTTTTAACTTTATTTCTCGTCATTGATCATCTTAGATAAACATATAAGATCAATTCACATGTTTTTACGAGAAAATTAATTCTCACGATCATGCATTATTAGGTATGTATAAATGCACCATAAAATGTTTGAACCTGTACCTTGAGGTGTGGTGCACTTTTGTTGTGTGTGTTAAATTTCATTCTCGTACATTTTCAAACACTGTGTGATGCATTTATGGATACATAATAGTCCAATTCGCACGAGAAGCTCAGTCCGCATTTGAACCTCTATATATATATATATATATATATATATATATATATATATATATATATATATATATATATACTAGTTAAATTTTGAAAGTTAAAGGACAATGAGTAATTAACTTGGACTATGGTAATAATTTGAAATCAAAGGACCATGAAAGTTATGATTAAAGGTAACAAAAATACTATAATAGCAGAATCTCATATGATATTAACTCGAAAATAAAGGTAGTGTTAATTTTGAAGGATAAACTTACAGTGATGACTGCTTTAATGTTATCTGGTTTGAGAGGAATTTGAAGGTCTCCATCCTCCTTGAGTCTTAGTAAAACATCAACTAGGTCTTCTTCATCTCTTGGTTTGTTTGCAATAAAGTTGTCTTTGTGGTCTTGAATGATGATTTCAATAATTTTATCCACCTCACGGTGAGCCTTCAACAATCTGGGTTTGGTCCCACTAATGTAATGAATCCATTTCTTGGACGGAAACAAATCGGCGACGTCAAATCCCCCGGCTAAGGAGAGCACATCTTTGGCAAGAACAATGAACCTCTCTTGATCTTCACGCCGCACTCTCCCAAACGCGGCCTTAGCAATCGTCGAGCTCGTGAACCAACATATCTTCTCCGTCAAGTTGATCGGAGCCGACGACCCGGCGGCCTTAATCGACGATACAAGCTCCGACAGCTCTTCCTGTCTAAAGGAAGCGACAAATGATTTCACCATCTTTGAGCTCAAAAGCTCCAACACGCATATCTTTCTCATCTGCCTCCAGTAATCTCCGTAGGGCGAAAACGCGACGTCTTCGCACTTGTAAAAGACAACGTCGAACGACATTATCTTTGGTCGGTTGGCGAAGACGACGTCGTGGGTTTTGGTTATGGCTTTTGCCAGTTCAGGAGAGGATATGACAATGGTGGAGATTTCGCCCAGCTGCAAGTGCATTATGGGTCCATATTTTCTTGACAAATTTCTGAGAGTACGATGTGGAAGCGAACCGCCGACCAAATGGTGGAGGCTTCCGATGAGGGGTAATTTCCACGGACCGGGCGGCAACTTTTGCCTTCTTGAAGCTTTTGATCTTCTCCATAATATGTTTATGCAGAACACGAAGGAGAGGAAGACGAAGACCGATACTGGGTTAAAGACAAACTTGAACTCCATTTCAGAAATGAAAGCAAAGAAGAACAAGTCTATAGTGTTTTCTTCGGCATGCGTATTCCTTTTATATCTACTATACTAAAAAGAGCCTAGAGTTAGGCCTATAATGGGTAAAAAAAATAGCGGTCAAATTATTTAATCAAATGAATGGCTCAAATTGAGTAGATTTTAATTTTTCTTTAATATTTACTAATTTATCCTTAATGAATATGATTTTCCGTTAACTTTTCCGTTAAATATTATCTTTTCTGTTAATTTCCGTTAGTTCACCGTTAACTTACTCATTGATTGCAATAAGAAAGGTCTTAGGTTCGAACTCCATCCCAATCGAAGTTGACATAATTAGTACTCTATTTTATTCTTATTAAATTAAATAATAATTTAGTAGCTACAACAAAAAATAATACATATATGCATTTCTTTAATTTAGAATTATGTGTCTACAATGTCTTTATTCAAAAAAAATTATTCATTGTCAATAAATTAAATAAGATAAATAATTTTATTAGTTATATTGTATTTATTTTTCTTCAATATAAAAATTCTTTACATTCAAATTCATCAACTGATTATATTTGCTACATTATCCCTACAATGTCTTTATTAAAAAAAATTATTCATTATCAATAAATTAATTAAGATAAATAATTTTATTAGTTATATTGTCTTTATATTTCTCCAATGTAAAAATTCTTTACATTCAAATTCATCAATTGATTATATTCACTACAATGTCTATTATCTTTTTTTTGTACACTATTTTTAATTAAATATCAAAGTTATAATACAAAATAATGCTATATATTTATTTACCAAGTATTTTATTAATACCATGAAAAAATTAAAAAAAATATATAATTAATAAAGCCAATCATATTAACTACTTGAGGGATTTGTTGACAAAAAAAAAAAGTATTCAAATCACACAACAAATTGAAGTGAGAATTACCTCACAATGTCCTTGTTTGACAATCAGCAGTTAGCGGTTAGCGTTAGCGGATTATATTAGCGAATTTGACCAGTGAATTACATCAACGGTTGGTAAAAAGATATTTGAAAAAATTAGCTGTTTAGATTAACATGTAAAATGACCGAAGGGTATACATGATGATGATGATGATAATATTAATAATAATAATAATAATAATAATAATAATAATAATAATAATAATAATAATAATAATAATAATTGTTTTAGAAAAATAAAAATAAAAATATATAATTAAACCAATCATATTAACTACTTGGGAGATTTATTGACAAAAAGAGTATTCAAATCACACAACAAATTGAAGTGGGAAACTATCTCGCAATGTTCTTGTTTGGCAATCAGCAGTTAGCTCTTCAATATTAGTATATATTTAATATTTTATGCCCTAATTTTTATTTGCTCTCCCTTATGTCCCGTATTTGGTTTTAACCATACCTATACAATTATTTTATTGACAATTATAATCAATCTTGATTATATTATCTTGCATTTGTAAATTTAGAATTGCCTATTTAAATACGCAAATTTAACATTTAATTATCTACGCATGAACAACTCCAATATAATTTTGCATTGATATACTTTAAACTACTTATTTAAAAAAAAATATTGGGCATTATCCCAATCGCGCAATGCGCGTAAAAAACTAGTATAAATATATAAATGTGTATAGAATCGCAATCAGGTGCGAATGCTTTGCCTAGGCGCGAAATAGGAATGAATTTTGTCCAGTCCACGTGTCTAGATCTAATGGATGAAAAACACTGATTTTTATAAAAAAGGTGTCCAGATCTAATGGATGAAAAACACTGATTTTTATAAAAAAAAAAAAAAAATGTGGTGGCATTTTCGTAAATAATTGAACATCAAAATGCAAGTAAAATGTATTACAAGTGCATGTAAAATGTATTATAGGTGCAAGTAAAAATTTACACTGAGCATCAATACTAAGTGCACCTATAGTTATAAGTAGTTGCACCATAGTTCTAAGTAGTTGCACATATAGTTATAAGTAGTTGCACCTAGGTGCATGAATGTTTGCGGGTGGTTTTCAAGGTTATTACTACCCGCTGAACTCAGATCAATGAAGGTTAACAATGCAAAATTACATGCACTTATAGGTGAAAATAGGTGCACCTATAGTTATAAATAGTTGCACTTATTGTTATAAGTAGGTGCTCCCAGGTGCATGAATGTTTGCGGGAAGTGAATGTTAACAAGACAAAATTACATGCACCTATAGGTGAAAGTAGGTGCACTTGTAAATTATTTTACTTGCACTTAGATATTCAATTATTTACGAAAATGTCACCGCATTTTTTTTAAGATATTAGATCAGGACACGTGTCGCGTGCTGATTCGTTCGCATATTCATTCCTAGGCACTTATTCGCACCTGAGTGCATCCCTATGTGTATATGTATTACAATATTGAATCATTGAAAGTGAGACTTCTCACCCACTAGACTAATACTTTTAGCATATAATAAAATTTGTTAATTAATATTGTTGAATGCTGAATTTAATTAACAATGTTCACCGCAACCAATTTCCTAGGATTTGTTTGATTAATTAATAATATATATATTGATACACATTCCAAATCCTTGAGAAAGACACACACATAATTATGCCCAAGTTGTCTACAAATCCCACTTAATCGACTTAAATTTAGGACAAAACGAGAATCATGCGCCACATGAATTAATCAATCTCCATACCACTGATGTTGCAATCTGTCTCAGTATTATCTGCCAGTATTTGGAAGAAGAGACTGAGGTTCAAAACTCAGCAGCGACAGTGTGAGATTATGTTCAAAGTGAGTAGATCCCATGCGTGCACTAGTATTTGGTCCTTTTTGTTGAGTCATTGAGTCACCGTGATTTACATACTCCTAAATGATGGGTCGAGATGGGATGTAGAGAGTTTTTGGGGTTGGGAATTCAAACTTTTGGGAGAAGGGCTATTATTGAGGTGTTTAATTTTATATCTAATGCATGATTATAACTTATAATATTCATCATACCAGACATTGATTTATTTCACTTATTATAAATCATTATGTTTTTACATAATTTCTGTGGTGGCTTGAAGTTGAATATCACATTGAGTCGGAAGATCAGACAATTGACATCTTATTATATAATTGTAAACTTTTACTAATCCCATTCATAATAATCCACTCCAAAATCGTATATGAATTAATAATTCAAATAAATTAAAAATATGTTAGCCTTGTTCGGCAATTCGCAACTAAAAGTTTTAGAAAATAAAATTGATTATTTAGTCTGGTATCTTTAATATTTACGGTTCAGCCTCAAGTGTTTCATTTTATTTTTCTTTCGCCCCCACAGAAAAAAGTTTCTGGATCCGTCCATGAGCGCGCTCTAATATATCTAATCTAAACACATAATAAGTCTCAATCAAGGTTATATCCATGATTTATATGCCTCTTTTTGTATGCTAATAAATATATATTTTTTTTATACTTTAAATGGTGTATACTTCAATGTTATTAGACAAAACTAGTATTTTCACCCTTGTGTTGCATGGAATGGATTTGTTATAATATTTTAAAAATATTTAGATCGATATAAAATTATATAAATTATAACCACAAATATCATATAGTGCAATTGATTAAATAGATTGGATCGATTATGTTTTCTGATTTTATCTTTTCTTGAATTCGAGCAAATAATTGCCCAATTACAGATTATTATAGAAAAGAAAACGGAGAAAGATCCCTTCTAAATATATATGCAAAAGATCCCTACAGATTATTAAAATGATGCAAAATTTTAAAATGTACACTAATTTTGAGGTGGACCAATGTGAGTTATGAAATTACAAGAATGACAAATAAATTAATTTATATTAAATAAGATTACATCTAACATAAATTATTACTTGTACGTTAAATTAAATGTAATAATTGCATACGTTACACTTTTAAACGTGACAAATTGATAATACATTTTGTGCTGATTCAAAATTTTGTCAATCTCACACACTTAGAAGTGTAGCATATGCAATTATTACATTTACATTTAATGTACATGTAATAATTAGTTTTGAATGTAATCTTATTTAATATAAATTAAAATTTATTTGTCATTCTTGCAATTTCACAACTCACATTGGCCAACCTTGAAATTAGTGTACAATTTCAAATTTTGCATTATATCCACTGAGTGCGAATAAAAGTTGTTTTTTCATCTTAATAAAAACTCAAATAATATAAAATAAGAGAAAATTTTAATTTTGGTCCACTGACTATTGGAGTTATTTTAATTGCAACACTTTGACTTTCAAAAATGTGAATTTAGTACCTTGACTATGCAATTTCTATCAATTTTGGTCACGCCGGCCAAATTACCGGCCAAATCTCACCGGAAAAATTTAATAGGTGAAATAACGAGGGTATTTTAGTCATTTCACTCCCCACCCCTTTCTTCTCCGATGAGCTTCCGATCACATCACATTACCGGCGAAACCCTAAACCCTATCCGATCACATTCCCCAACGAATACTCCTTCTTCTTCGCGAATTACGCGCCGCAGTTGAAGGTTTCCATGAACATCCGCACTGTCCTCCTTCAACCGCTCCTACTCATCTTTTTGTCGCCGAAAGAAGATATATACTAGCACTACACATGAACATGCTCTGTTTTGCAAAATATTTGTAGGTCTCTTTTTGTCGCCGAATCAGGTAGAGCTGGTCAATTGGTCAACCAATAATTTCAAAAGGAATACAGGTTGGAGCAGAAGAGTCGTCGATGCTGCGATGCAGAAGGAATACAAGTTGTTGATTTATATTATTAGTTTATATCACATTCCCCATTGTTGATTTATATTATTAGTTGATAAACCTTGTTACAGGTTTGATTTCTTGTTGGAAATGGAAATAAGCTTATGGGAGAAGAAATCCTCGCCGGAAATAGATCGCCGGAAATAGATAGAAGCTCATGGGAGAAGAAAGGGGTGGGGAGTGAAATGACTAAAATACCCTCG